AGGTGGTCACACCCAGAGGCACACGACATGGATATGTATGCCTCTTGGGTGATGTTAAATGTGATCACTGAGTCAAAATGTCCAGTTCCTCTACTCTATAGTTAATTTTTTTCCCCTTGCAATTAATAATCATTCTGGGGGAAGACACTTTAAGACCATGCACATAACCTACTCCTTATTCAAACTTCTCCTACAGCTTTAGCATTCATTGATGATTCTAGTAGATAATCTGATAAAAGCGAACTAGCGCTTTAAGAAAACTGATCCAGAAACTGGAAGGTCTGTGGATGGAGCTGGGCTTCCTGTTACTCTCTAGTCCTGACTTCCTGTTAAACTTTATGGTTCTAACATCCTGCAGAGGGGTGGGGATATATGTAAAGGCCATCTTGGAAGAGGGGTATCTTTTTGCATGTGGGTGGCTGGCCAGAGATGTCCATTCTCACACTACTGTGGTGGTTTTTCCTTTTTTCTTTTCCCGAATAAACCCTCCTTTTGGTGGACAATCTAAAAGGGTTATTTTGTCCAGTCGGCAAAACTTGACTATAATAGTTGCAAAATTATGAGTTTCTAACACTACCACTTTTCTGCATTTGTCAGCTTTTCCTCTGTTATTTTCATTTATCTCTTTGTTAATATGGACTTAGACATTTCCTGTTTTATTTAATAGATTATAATTCATTACAGTCGTTATTTATTGTGATGCTCAAATTGTCCCAGTATTGGCCAGTGGGGGCTGATTCAGGTTGGCTCTTGTGTCCTTTTGACATGTTCCCATTATCTTTGAGCATTTCTTTACTTTCTGGCACCATAAAATGTTCCAAGCTCATTTTTCTTGCCTTAGCCCTGGAATCAGTTATTTCTCCAAAGAGCCCTAGTTCCTTTTAGTGAAAGCCTTTACTTCTAGTCCCTTGAAAAGAACAAAGCTAAGAAATATATATATGCATGTGTACATATAGTTTCTTTAAATTATGAGTTAATGTTGATACCTCCAATTTCAATCCAACCCCATGGAGTTCTTTCTTGCCTTTCCCAGTGCCACACTTCTATCTCCCCTTCCACAGTGAGAACTCTGGCTCCCAAAATATCAACGCATTTACTCATTTGTTCATTCCTGCAATACACATAAAGTTGTTTCAGAGTCTCTGTATACCCATACCCCAGTGCAAAACAGATCTAAAAAGAACATAATATTTGTTGGTCTTTTCTTCCCTACAGGCAACATATAATCAAAGAAAGTGTTACAAAGTTACTTAGATTATTTCTCTGTCTCAGTGTGTTTAGTTTATCCATTTGAAATATGGTTGGATTCATCTGTTTTCATTTGCATTCAGCTTTAAGGTTTGGTGATTTTTTTTTAATTCTTACTCACATAATTTTATTTTTTGAATGTGTAGAGCATCAACATACTTCCTGAAAGTCAAAACTCCCTCCCGTGTGCCTTCCACCAAGTCCCTCCTTCCCCTGCCTCCTGTAACTAACCACTTTCATTGTTTCCTCGCTTATTTTTCTCATGTTCCTTTTTTTAATAAAAATAAGCAGAAAGTATAGTTTTTTTTCTTCTTTCAAAAAAAAAAAAAAAAAAGCTTTGTATAAACTTTTATGCACTTTGCCCTTTTTTTTTTTAACTTACCAATAAATCCTGGAAGTCATTTCATATAAATTTATCAAACTCATCATTCTCATTCTTTTTTGCATAGTACCATTTTAGGTGTGTACCATAGTTTATTTAATTGGTCTTCTATGTTTGGGCATTTAAATCAGTTCCAGTATTTTGCAAATACAAATAGTGCTACAATGAATAAACTTGTCCATCTGTAGTTTCATACCATTGGAGGAATGTCTTCAGGGTAAATTCCTAGAAGTAGGATTGCTGAGTGGAGATTTAAAGGCATGCATGGATAGTTTGGTTAGATGTTGCCAAATTACCCGCCACAAGCCTTGTACCATTTTGCATTTCTACCAGCTATGAACAAGAGTGCCTCTTTCCCCATTGTCTTATCAACTGAGCACAATATTGAGCTTTTGAATGTTTATGAATGTTCTAGGTAAGAAATGATATCTCAGTATAATTTCAATTTACATGTCTCTTATTCTAAGAGAAATTGAACATCTTTTCATACATTTGAAGTCCATTGTTCATCTTTTAGTAAATTGGTTTTTCATGACTTCTGCCTGTTTTTCTAGAGGATTTTTGGTCATTTTTTTTTAATTAAAATTTATTGGGGTGACAATGGTTAGTAAAATTACATAGGTTTCGAGTGTACAATTCTGTAATCATCTGTATATCACATTGTGTGTTCACCACCCAGAGTCAGTTCTCCTTCCATCACCATATGTTTGACCCCATTTACCCTCTTCCACCACCCGCTTCCCCCCTTAACATCTGGTAACCACTAAACTATTGTCTGTGTCTATGAGTTTTTGTTTCTTTGTCTGTCTTGTTCCTTTGTTGTTTTCAGTTTTATATCCCACGTATCAGTGAAATCATATGGTTCTCGACTTTTTCTGTCTGACTTAATTCGTTTAGCATAATAATCTCAAGATCCATCCATGTTTTGGCAAATGGCACTATTTCATCTTTTCTTATGGCAGAGTAGTATTCCATTGTGTATATATACCACATCTTCTTTATCCAGTCATCTATCAACGGAATCTGAAAACTTATCCGTAAAGATATACAAAACCTTGGATTGCAAGTAACTTGGTTTGTTAGTGTTCCGCAAGATGAGCAAACATCTCTCAAGACAGGACAGGTGAGCCCTGTCTTGCAATACGAGTAGTTTGTTTCCGGAACGAATTATGCTCACAAACCAAGATATTACTACTGTATTTGCCCTGATGTTTATTGTTGCTTTATTTACGGTGGCCAAGACATGGATTTTTGGTCATTTTTAAAAAGCTGCTTTACCTGTGGCATATATGGCATATATTTTCTCTCAGTGACTTTGCTTCTCTTGTCTCTTTCCACCCAAAAACTTTTTGAGTGAGAATGACCACAAGTGAGGGCTTTTGTTATCAGATTCAAAAATGTAAGTTAAAGTTATATAAATTAAAACAGTATAGTTATTATGGGAAAATAGGCTTAAAGGCCATTTGGATAAAATTGCCCCAAAATAGATATAAATATATGTATACATTTGAGTGTGTGTGCTTTATAAATTTAGTATATGATAAAAGTGGCACTTCAAATCAATGATGAAGGGGATGGTTATTCAGGAAGTATACTGGACACTCAGTTAACTGTTTAAAAAACTAAAGTTAGATCCCTGCCTTAACCCACCAAAAAAAAATATTTGGTTGGATAAGTTAAGTGGTTAATAAACAAAACTATCAAAATACTAGAAGAAAATGTTGGTTAATTATATCAGCATTTCTCAATCTCAGCACTATTAAACTTTGGACTGGGTAATTTTTGTTGTGGAGGTTGTCAGTGCATTATAGCATGTTTAACAGCATCCCTTGTCTCTTCCCACTAGATGTAAGTAGCACCCTCCCAGTCATGGCAATCCAAAATGTCTTCAGACATTGTCAAATGTTTTCAGGTTGTAGGGTTATGGTAAAATCTCCCCTCGTTCAGAACCACTGATCTACAGCATCTCAACTAATAGATGCATAATATTCAAGAGTGAAATTACAAAGAAAAAATTTGAAAATGTTTGCTACATAGAAGAAAAAAATTTCAGTTTCTTAAGCAGCTATAAAATTGAAATTCAAGCAACAAATTGAAAAACACGTAACATAAATGATATTTATATTACATAAAAAGTAATCAATTAGATGACCATCCCAATAGAAAAATGAGTGGACACAAATAGACAATTCACAAAGAAAGAGATCTAAATGGCCAGATATATAAATACCAAAAAATACTCAGCATATTAATAATCCAAAATATTCAAATAAAAAATGAATAAATAAATACAGGATGCATGCTTTACCTTTAATATTAGTAAACATTCGACTTATTCAGTGTAAGGGGAGAAGGTAATTCCATAAAATGGAAGACGTATAAATAAGAATACCATTGGTGAAGCATAATTAGACCTTTCAAATGTATCTATAGCTTTGTCCATGCACTTCTACTTCTGGTTCTTGATCCTAAGGAAATAATTGTACTGTAAAAATATTTATTGTGGTACTATTTATAATTGCTACACATTGAGAAAACGCATCTGTCTAGCAATAAGATATTGGTCAAATAAATTAAGGCATATCCATATATAATGGCATATATTAGGTCAGTGTTACAATTGATGGTGTATACATATACATGGGAAAATGAATAAATTATAGTGGCAAACTCAGTAACTGTGTGTGTGTGTATGTATTTATGCCTGAGATAGATTGATACATCTCATTTTTTCTTTCTATTTACATTAAATTGTTAGATTATCTTTAGTGGTAAGATATATAGAATTTGTTCATTTTTATATCTGTGTTTTCTAACATTTCTTCCAATGAACATGAATAATTGTCTAATGAAATAGAAGAACAGGGAGAAATGTAATCCTCTGTCCCAATTCCAACTTTAGAAAATTTGCTAAAATGTTAATAGTTAAAAAAAAATAGAATTTTCTACAGTGGTATTCATGAAAGCAGTTTTTGTAACTGAAAAAGCTTTGATGATAATATTAATGTTCCAAAATAATTATCCATATAAGCTACTCCACATAGGAAAAGAAACTGAAAGAACTAGTAACCATAGCTATCTCTGAATTAGGCCCATGGTGTTATTTTTCTGTGTGTTTTTCCTAATTCCCAAATTTTTACTAATTTCTCTTCTCTTCAGAACAAAATATATTTTTAAAAGTCTAAACTGTCACCTTCTTATTGTGAGCCACATAAATGTTATTTTTAAAACGGAGTGGCTAAATTTAGCATTAAACAAAACCACGTTATCCTTTGCGTGTGCACCTGTGTGGCTTACCAGCAAGTTCTCTCCTTCTTTATTTGCATAGACTAAAGGGAACTGACCAAAGATTTGCTTTATCCTATCGTAGGTGGCTTCGGGTGAGTGCAATGAAGACACCGAAGTTTACAACATCACCCTGTGTACTGGGGATGAACTCACTCTAATGGGGCAGGCAGAAATCCTTTACGCAAAGACTTTCAAGGAAAAGTCACGACTCAACACCATCTTCAAGAAGATTGGGAAGCTCAATTCCATCAGCAAGCTGGGGAAAGGCAAAATGCCCTGCCTCATTTGCATGAATCACCGGACCAACGAAAGCATCAGCCTGCCCTTCCAGTGCAAGGGCAGATTTAGCACCCGAAGCCCCCTGGAGCTGCAGATGCAGGAGGGCGAACACACCATCCGGAACATTGTGGAGAAAACCAGGCTTCCTGTGAATGTGACCGTGCCCAGCCCCCCACCCAGGAACCCCTACGACCTCCACTTCATCCGCGAGGGGCACCGCTACAAGTTCGTGAACATCCAGACCAAGACCGTGGTAGTTTGCTGTGTGCTGCGGAATAACAAGATCCTCCCCATGCACTTCCCTTTGCACTTGACTGTCCCCAAGTTTAGCCTCCCGGAACACCTGGTGAAGGGGGAGGTATGGCCCGAAACCCTGGTCCATCACTGGCTGGGTATCTGCCAAGAGCAGTTTGATATCGACGAGTATTCGCGGGCTGTCCGGGACGTGAGAACCGACTGGAATGAGGACTGCAAGAGCCCCAAAAAGGGCCGGTGCTCTGGCCACAACCATGTGCCCAACTCCCTGAGCTATGCTCGCGATGAGCTCACCCAGTCTTTCCACCGGCTCTCGGTCTGTGTGTATGGTAACAATCTCCATGGCAACAGCGAGGTGAACCTCCATGGCTGCAGGGACCTAGGGGGAGAGTGGGCCCCCTTTCCTCATGACATCCTGCCCTATCAGGACTCGGGGGATAGTGGGAGTGACTACCTTTTCCCAGAAGCTAATGAAGAGTCAGCGGGCCTCCCAGGGAAGTCGGAACTTCCTTATGAAGAGCTGTGGCTGGAGGAAAGCAATCCCAGCCATCAGCCCCTCACCCGCTCCCTCAGCGAGAAGAGCAGATGTGACCAGTTTAGAGGTTCTGTCCGGTCCAAATGTGCAACGTCTCCTCTTCCCGTCTCCGGAACTCTGGGAGCAGCAATGAAGTCTTCAGAGATTGCCCTACCTCCACCTCCAGTGCCTCCCAAATCTGAAGCTGTAAGTCATTTCTGTTTTTTAATGATACACCAGTCAGTCCTTCTGTGTCTCTGCTCAGTCATTCGCTCATCTTTTTTCTTTCCTAAAGAAAGGATAGCTCCCGCAATCGAAGATTATCAGAATGAGCAAATTTGCTTAATGGGAGTGAAATATAAAGGCTTGCTAGATTATTTGTACCAGTTAGGGGTTAGAGTTTTACTCTATGTTTGATGAGAAACTTGGAGAGTTTTTAGTAGGAGGGGTTTGAACATGACTTGCACTGCTGCCTAGACAACAGATAACAGGAAGGAGAGAGCTAAAGCCCCGAGACGAGAAAAGAGGCGATTACACCACCAGAGGCAGGAAATGATAGTCCCCCGAACCACAGCAGTCGGTAGCAGTGGGTGGCGGGGAGAAATGAGCTGCTTTGGGACATGTTTTAGAGGTAGACCCGACCGTATTTACTGATCCATTGCGTATGGGTAGTGAAGGGAAGAGAGAAATCAAGGACAACTCGATTTTTAGCCTGAGCAAGAGAGTGGATATTAGTGCCATTTACAGTGATGGGGAAGACTGACGGAGGAGTCGGTTTATTTGGGGGAGGAGGGATCAAGAGACATCAGCGTCATTTTTAACTATTTCCTATATCCCTGAAGCTTCGTGAGATCAAAGCATAGTTGGTGTGCACACACACATACACACACACGCACACCCTTGAGCATAACCAGGTGCCAGGGTGATTGTTTAATCCCTTAAACATAACTCATTCAAAGCTTGAGGGGGCTTCTATCAAATCTCAATGTAAAAAAGTCAGTGCAGGAGAAAAGACAGGGCCCTCTCTTTTGACCATGATCTTTGACTGACAGGGACTCTGAACCTTTGCTGTTCATTTTGATCATTGGCTTTCATTATATCCAAAGGGAGAAAGCACTAGAGGTGTTGGGTGTACTTCTATTCATTGATTTATTTGACAGTCTCTATTGCAATGGTTTTCTTTTTTTCTATCTCTAGCAGAATCCTTTAAGAAATAAAAGCATATTAAACACAATAAAGAAGAATTAAAAGCACAGATTGGGAGCAGGGGGTCTCCAGGTGCCCCTGTTCACTCTCTGCCCCCAGCCAGCTGGTCTCAGGACCTCTCTGGAACCTTGGGGCTGTGCAGAACCCAGTTTCAAAACCATGGAATTCCTTAGTGGGTGAGATGCTAGAAATACGACCATCAATAAGCTCTGGACTCGAGTACTTTTCAGTTTTATAGGGAGGGGAATAGATGGAAAGAGACGACTATCCTACAAGTTAACACGTGATCAACAATAGAAGAGAGAAGTACATAGATAATGTGTGTGGGAATTCAGAGGAGAAAGAAACTTCTAGTTGGGTAATGAATGAGAGAAGCCTTCGTAGACATTTTGACATTTTACATGAGGTGAGAGAATATGCATGAAATCAGAGAGATGAGAAAGAAAAGCATTCCAGAGGAGTGTGAGCAAAGGTGTGGAAACTAGGACAGGTGAGGAAAAACAGGAAGTTCTGGTGGGCCAGTGGAATAGGGTTGAATAGGGTGCATGCAGTGCACTGGTGGCTGAAAGGCTAGAGCCAGGTCATGGACAGCCCTGAACACAAGGCAGCACTGTGTGCCAGGCTTCACACTTAGCTGTCCATGCAGAGCCCTCATTGCTGCCGTTTCATGAGAGAGGACCCATCTCTGATGTTCCAGGTCGTAAGAACTCCCCAGAAACTTCAGATCTGGACTTTCCCCTGCTGCTTGCAGGATCTCCCAGGGACTTAAGGCACAAGCGCAGAGATCCCTACATCCAGTAGGGGTTGTGGAATATTTGGGGGAAGTCTTGGTGGGGTTAGAGTCCTTGGTCTTTTTATTCATGTCAGAGGATGTTTGCCCAAAAAACAGGTGAATAAATAAAGGGGACATTCTTCCTGGCAGGTACTTGAGGCAATTTTAGGTGTGTCTCCACTCATCTCTATATTTTATGTTACTTGAACCTGGAAGCCCTGATCTTCAATAGGAATGTGTCCACATGAGCTGTTCCTACCTGGAACATAGTGGGGACTCATGTTTGTTGACTGACTGATTGACTCATTCATGGTGATCACACCCAGTCATTTGTGTAACCAAGTGTAGAGGGAGGAAACCAGCCCTTGTTTTTTTCTGTGGCTCATCAGATGAGTAAGAACATAAATATTGAGGACCTATCTTGACCTTGGTACTGAAAGAAAAATGATAGTTCTGAAACGAAAAGCAAATCTTATAGGAGAAAAGATTTTGGCCACCAGGTCTAAGATGTCAAATCTTACAACGTAAGAGAATCTTTTCAGAGCATGCCCAGTATTTATAGAATGCTATAATTATAAAGATGTTTTTATAAACACCTGAAATCACTTAATTTACTTTAAAACATTAGGCATTTGAAATGAAGTCATGTTTTTCATGGGTTCTGTGACCATGAAATGAATTTTCCATCGTTAGGATGTGTGTGGGGTCCAAAGGACGTCATAATTGTTAGATGTGGCTTCAGCTTGTAATTTTCAAAAGGGAACTTTAATGGGGCATAAATTCAAGTGCTTCCACAGAATTAAATAAGAGTTCTTTGGATAGTGTCAGTGGAGTGAGTCTTGGAAGAGAGACATGTCATGTGTCTAACGGCCATTCCGCCCAATAATTAAAGATGGTAATAAACTTTCAAGTGAGGCCATTTTCAAGTGAGATAGCATCAGGGAAGGTGACAACTCCCACCTGTTCTTTATTTTTTTTTTTTAATTGGGAAATTGGGGGATGAGAACAGCGCTGGGGAATTAGGGGAAGGGGAACAGACAACTTGCTGTCGTTTTGTTCTTCAGTCTAGTTGTGGAGGACGTTGCTTCACTGGCCCAAGTTGGCACCATCATTGCACTCTTCCCGGGCGAGGCAGATCAGTCGCCGGCTTCTGGACGGCTGCTCATGGCAGCTGCTGGCCGCTCACGCTGGCTGCTGGCTACACACGGTAGCCCATGGTAACCCACTGCAGCAGGGGCTGCAGACTACCTACGCCGTTGCCGGCGACTCATGGCAGCCCAGCTCCAGGTTGAGCTGTTGTTCAGCATCTTAGCTGTAGAGGGCAGTGTCACTGGGCCCTCATATGTGGGATCTGAACCGGGGCCCTCTGGCATCCCAAGCCAGCTCTTAACCAATGCGGCACTCGGCCGGCCCCCACTCGTTCTTTAGGACTAGAAAGTGCTGAAACAATGGAACAGAGTCAAAGAAAGCATGTCTTTCACAGTAAGGGAAGCAGAGCTAGTAATTGGCGGCGAATGAAGTGTTTTGCTGCAGTCTGTGACCCAGTCAAGAACTAGAGGTCCAGTGGAGCCGCTGTGGTGTATGTCAGCCTGTTCATGTCCCCCTGACCCTGCTCTTCACGCCCTGCGTCAGTGTCCTGAGTTATAACATACATTTGTGCTCTCTTTCTCCAGCAAAGGTTGATGGTCTTTGTTTCTGTCTGTAAAAGTGAGAAGAAATCTCTCCCCGTCAACGATAACGCTCACTGCGCTTCCTTCCGCGTTGTGCTGCCGTTCTGGCGTCATCTGAGTTCCGCTGTCAGCGCTTTCCTACCCGTATCCTAGGGTGAAAAACTAGATTGTGGGGCCAAACAAAATCTTCAGAGGTTTAGCCCTCTTAATATACTTTGTACTTGATGTGGCTATTTAGATTTATGCTGGAGTCCTCATGTGTCTTTTGTAAAGATTGTCTAATATGGTTAAAAAAACAAAAACTGCCACTTACCTCTCCACAACATGAAAGCCTATTCCCTTCCTAATGGGAATGTCCCAGGGAAAAGTAAACAGCTCCTGGTTCCAGGCACAGAAGGGAAGCAGCCACTTGTACCCCTCAGAATTGTCTCAGGTGAGCCCAGGCTGAGGGAGCATGCCCCCAGCTCACTGAATGGGGACATTCTCACGTTTTTAAATTCTGGAAAGTGCCCTCCGATCAGAATGACCTGACAGTCCCTCTTCAGTGTATTATTCTTATTGTTTCATACATTTAGTCTAAACGCATCCTCTGTTTTGTAACATTGTGGGTCTCTATCCATGTAATCTCAATTTTCTGGGGTATTGGGTATTATGTCTAAAATATTTACCCAGATACATTCTATGCATGACAATCAAGAGCAGTCCTTTCCCCCCACTTCCCCCCTTTAGAAGATGCCATTTTGGAGCACAGTGGTGGGAAGACTTTATATTCCTTGGAATTCTATAAACAGAATGTTTGACTTACAGACTTCTCTGGTCTATGCAGTGAATTACAAATTATTATCAAAACTACAGGATCACAACTCCTCTAATTCCATGTATGCAGCAGTATCTGACTGGGAACCCCAGAACCCAGAGATTCATATCCTTTACCTTCTTCAATAATAGACAAAAGTGCATTCATTCTTGGCTAGTTGTTGACATTACAGCAATTCCCGAAATTCATGAAAGGAAAATCATAAAAGGAGCTCTAGGCTGTGAACCCCTGGTTTAAACCAAGTTTTACTGCAATACTGAAGAAGAATTTGTTAACCTTTGTGATAGACGGGGATGCCCCCATGGTCTATGAGAATTGAGTTATGAGATGGATTAGTGGCCTATATTCATTGTCATAAGGCTGAAAATCCATTGTAAATAAAGTTCCTGTAACAGAATATACTGTGTTGTTGGTGTTTGAAGAAAATAAGAGTTAAAGGGTAAATTTCATGCCACATTGACTGGACCTAGTCCAGTAAGTGCTTGGAAAAAATGACCGAGCTATAGAGAAGTAAGTCAGAGTGTCTGACTCTGCCTCAGACAGGCTGAACAGTTGATGAGAAAATGGAAGGAAATACCAAGCATCCTGGGAGTCTTCATGTCTCCTCTTAGAGGAATTGAACTAGAAGCAGAGAGAGAAGTGATCAGCCATACTGCATGATAGTTAGAGGTACGTAGCATGGCATCTAAGAACCACTTGTGGATTTGAATCCTCTCTCTGCTGCTTAGTAGCTTCAAACCTT